TTGAATATGTTTGTTACTTCGTTTTTATTATAGTCCAAATTTCTCTTCATTAATATTGAACGAATGAATATGTAACGTATATATATACACAAATGTGAACAATAGTTAGTTAGTACAATATTAGTTTTATTTACTAATATATTATAACATAATTTACTCTAATTTAATTAACCTTAAATATATATATATTTTTTAAGATAAAGTTCAATTTTTAAAACGAATTCTTTGATACGTTCCAATTTAGGTAATAAATACACATCATTAACATCGAATATGATTAATACTAATGACATTAAATTATCAAAAGATAACAATTATATGTAAATCATTTTAAGATTTTGTACTGTAATACTTCATTTTTTCGATGTTACATATCGATATATTTAACTATGTTATAATTATTATTTTTTAACTTAAATAAATATATTATTAATACATTGACTTTTTCTTTCATGCTTTCTGTTTTTCTATTAAGTAATAGAAAGTATCATACTATTCTATCAGTGAAAATTATAGTTTATATTTGCTTATAAAAAAAATATTTTAATTATGCGTGTCATAAGTGTAGTATTAGACATTAATGAAGGATTAAAATTCAATATCTCAAAATGATATTTATTATTTAACATATACTTGGAATGAAGATTTGAACTTATTATAAATATTATTACTCTTTGACATTTTTGTTGAAATTTAATGAATTAAATAAAAATATTATTTCTTTTTCAAAATGTCGAAAAAGAACATTCTTTAAAAAAATGAAATTTTAATTTTTTAAAATAAAATTATCATTATATATTTTTAATTCTTTGATTACTTAGGAAGTAATTTATATATAGGAATAGTTATTGTTTCTTCAAGCCTTTTTCTTCCGAAACTTGCAAGTCTTCGTAGATTTTATTCATGCAGGCACACTTGACATGCTCCAAAGCATGAATCACTTCATGGTGACGATCTCGTTGTTGATCAATGCGATGTCTCACCATGAAGACAAGACTGACATTTCTAGTTTCAATCGGAGCACAGATCTGATTAGAATCAGGACAACATCCCGATCCAACACAGCGTGTTAATACCGTGAAGGCGGGATAAAAAACTTCATCAGATCCGAGGCCCACAGTCAAGAGATCCTCTACTGAGATTGCCCTTGGTTGAGGCGACAAACATTGAAATTGATGTACCAATTGCACGTGGCTTAGGAAATCACTATCCCTATATTAAACAAAAATAATCTACAGATAATTATAAAAACGAAGAAACGGAAAGAAAATGAAAACAATGAAAACAATTTAACAAAAATAAAGAAATGAAAAACAAAGAAAGAAGAAGAAATCAAACATAGAATGAAAAAATACAATGTAAAAAGATAAAAAAATAAAGAGAAAAGTCTAATATAGAATCTAACTTAAAAAACTTAAAAAACTTAAAAAAAAAAGAAAACAGAAAAAGAAATAGCGATTCAGAAAATTAATTGACTATGTTTTCTCACCTATGATGTCTGCCGATAACAATTAATGCAAATTGAATGCAGATTACCAAAAGTAAAAGTATCTTCATTTTCGAGATGTAATTCTTGAGATATACTGTCACAAATTGTTATATCACTATTATTTTATAATAGCAATAATCACTAAAATGATCAGTGATTATGTAATGTATTTGTAAAGTAGAGCACACTTTTGTTGAATTAAATAACCGTATTGGTCAAGAAAATTAAATCCAGTTTCTCGAATAGAAATTTCCGAATGTGTTTCAATTTGTTTCATTAATAATTTTCACTTTAAATTAAAGAGAAAGAAGAATTAAACAAAAAAAGAAATAAAATAAAAAATTCAAGTTTTTTTCAAACTAAGCTTAAAGACATTTAATTTTTCTTCCAGATAATTTCAAATACATTAATCTCGGAAAATTACATTACATTTTCATCAATTTCTTCAATCGGTTTTGACTTTCAACTTCACGTATCATTTTCACAGATAACACTTCTTTTCTTCAGAAATATTTTATTTATTCTGATAAATTTAGTATCCAGTCGACTTTTCGAAAAGTCAATTTCACTCGATCCTTTCTTTGATCTTTGCGATGTTCGCACTGAAGATGCTTGCCGCGACTACGACCAAGCTCTGCGATCAGAATTCTTTCATTCTATATACTGGGTGTCCAGTAATAACTGTATTACATCTCGTAGGCAAGTAGAGCAAGTTATATTGAGTAGAAAAATCTTGTACCATTTTGTGATAATTATTACTCGTGATAATTAAAGAGTTATTTAATATTTATCACAAATCTGCGAATAAGCGAACATTTGCATAAAAAGATAGTCTAGCATTATATATGCCTATGGTTGGGTGCGCGGCAAAACTGTTGGAAAACTGTATATTATATATGATATTATCTTGTAGATATTATTTATAGATTATATTCAAATATCTTGCGCGTTTAGTAATCATAAACGTGCGTAACTGAGCTATCCCTTCGCGTGAATGCTCCCTCATTTGTGGATCTGTATCAATTAATAACTTTTTAATTAGTGCAAAAATCGCAAAATAAAAACTTTTCCATTCGATATAACTTGCTTTATTTATTCACGAGAATAATATGATTATTATTGGATATGCTGTGTACATATACACACAGTGTGTTCCATTTTAATTATTCCAAGTAAAGATTTTGAAAAATATGGAAGATACAGAAAAACGTTTCGGACAAAAATTGTTTTGAGGAAGTCACTGTCAAGATATTTTATTATCACCATTTTTTTTAATGAAATCATATATTTTTTTGTTACATAATGTGATTCCTTCAGTTATTCTAGATATAAAAGAGGCTCTTGAAACTCACTATGTATATACACACGCGCGCTCACATAATTGTGTCCAGGCTTTCCTTCACCCTTCTTCATCTTCCAATTTCTTTTTTCTTATTATTACTTGCTCTTCGATTTCTCTTTACAGATCTTTCTTCGAATTCTCGGTAAAAGAAAGAGATTTGAGAAGGGATCGATCTAACTATTCTGAGAAACTCTTCGAAATAACCATAATTATTAGGAGCGTCAGAATATGATGTTGCTTCTTTGCTCATCTTTTCTTTCCACTTCACTTCCTTCATCTTCTAAGTATTTTCTTCTTCCTTTTTTCTTTTTTTTTTTTATTTACTTATCTAGTTTTAAATACAAAAATTTGAAAAGAATAATGAAATAAATTCAAGAAATTATGTTTTCAGATTAAAAGTTAATTGTAGATCTTAATTTATAGATTTTGTATAAATTATGTTTGATAAAAATAATTAGAATTTTATGTTTTATTTAAATATATCGCGATAATAAGTTCGTTCTTTTACTAAATCTTTTATACAGCTAAATTTTTTTTCACGATTCATCTTTCCTCTTTTTCTTTCTGTGTTAGAAAAAAAAGATGATATATGCAAGAAGTTCAACTAAAAAGAGCAGGCCTATTGTTATATCTACTATTACAATTACTCCACATATTTCATTCTAAAAATATATAAATTAGCATGTTAATCGTTTGTTTGTATTTTGTATACGTATGTAAAATACATGTAATTTGTATGTATAAAATATGAAACTTATAAATTTAACAAAATCAATGAGATAAGTTATTTATCACCATGTATAATACTCAGATTGAAGAAGCAAATTAAAATACCTTACGCAAATTTCGCATGACTGGATCATCGGAAGTCATGTTGGAATCCGCACTACTTTGGTGGTCCTATGTTTCAAAGATTGAGTCATCATTGAGTGAGTCATATAGTGTTAGTTTCATATATAATATCTTTACAATATACAGGATAGTTTAAATAGTATTACAAACTCAATATCTTAGAAATCTGAATAAAAAAATTATTGATGATTTTTATGGCGATATTCTTGTTACTAATAAGCTTTCTTGTTAATAATAAGACATTTGTTTAACATTTGTTTAAAATGTAATGAATATCTTTTTAAACATTTAATAAAATAATTTTGAAAAAGAAAATTTAATTTTTGAATTTATAAATTAATACAATAGATCTTTACATTTTATAACTCTTAATTTTGATATTGTAATGTTAGAAAAAATATCTTTATTACTTAATTAAATAATTAAATATTATTAATTAAAAATTGTTTTATCTTTAATATAAAATCTAATTATATTATTTTTTTATAGAGTATTATTTGAAATTTCAAAGTTGTCATCTCCTCGAAAGAAATTGCTAAAATTCATTTGTAATTTAAAAGGATCTTTTATAACAAAAAATTTTGTTATAAAATCACTTTTATCCAATGATTCCTGAGATTAATCCGTAACATTATAGAAGAATTGGAACTAACAATAATTTTAAAATTTTTCGAAATATTTTAAATCATGGAATTTATAAGTTACAATTAAGAGGAGATAAAAGTATTAATGATTCAAAAATTGCGAATAAAAATATAAATTAATGCTAATGCAAGTTGATAATTTGCGTTAAATATGTAATTGGAAATTAAATCGCAGACGATAAATATAATATAGGAATAGATTATTATTAACGATAGTTATTCAATTAATATATCTGCGCGAATCCATTTTTAATGCTATAAAAAATTAAAATAGGAACTTTACAGTGCAGGTTTATTGAAACATAAATTGTTTCGTGTAATCATTTATCATGTATATTTATAAAGTAGATATCACATTTTATTTTTGAAACAAGAACTTCAATGAGTTGCATAAGCTTGAATAAGAAAGGAAATTCCATCTGCGAAGAGTATACTGACGAAATATTTGAGTAATTACGTTTATACTACGTCATTCTTACGCAGGAATGAATGATTTAAGGTGGTTTCTGCCAACTCACTGTATATATCTATATCTAGATTGATGACATTAGAAATGAGAAAATACATGATAAAATTTCTTGCAAAATATATTAAAATAGAAATATTTTTTGATAAAATAACTTTATTTTTCTTAATATATGATCAATAGGACAAATTTGTAAAAAATATCTTTTAACGTAATGAGTAATTATATATGCAGAAATGAATTGTGCCTAATCAAAAATAGAGCCACAAAATTCAATTTTATAGATTATCGGTAAAAACATTTACAAAATGTTTCAAGAATTAAGATGCTTTTTAAGCATATTCTTGTGATACCTTTATGAATAACTTAGTAAAAAGTAATTAAAAAGAATTGTTCTAATATTTAGTATATAATATCAATATGCGTTTCTAATATTCTACTATATTGAAAAATGAGTTGAAAGAAAAGTGCTTACTTTTTATAAGCAAATAAATTGATGTACAAGATAATAACACATTATGAATGACGAAAAAATATAATAGTAACAGGGAACTCCCAATAGTAAGGAAACTCCCGAAGAAAAAAGATGTCTTTAATTAGCTGATCTCATCTGTGTCACAATACGAGAATCAGCTTTACAACGAATAAATCTTTCATAACATAGAAAATTAGTTGGCAAAACCATTTTACTATTTTGATTTGCACTTAGTAAAAGTGACTTATTTAAAAAAAATTTCTTAGGAAAGAAATATTCTTTTATATTATTTTATTTAAAATATATGTTTTATTTTAGTGCGTGAGAACGAATAGATATATAATTTTATATTCACAAGTTAAAATTATCTTTATAGAACTCTACAATTCAATTAAACTCTTCAAATTCAACTTAATACTGACCAATATAATATGAAATATAATACTAAAAAACTTACTTATTTTCAGTATTAAAAACACTATTGTTATAGTGCTATTCAGTACCTTTCATGAAATTTTTATGATGAAATCACATCAAATTAAAATGTTAGAAGCAAAAACATACATTATAAAAATTCTAAATTAAAATGGAAAACTGTATAATTAATGCAGATTTATTTTCTGTACAAAAAGTTATTATAAATTTATATTAAAAAATTTTTAATTTTTAAAATTATTTTATATTTTATTCTGATATATTTTGACATATTAAATATGTCATAAAATATTAATTTTTCGATTATCTTATTTCAGTATATGTAGAAAATAATAATAATAAGATGTAAAGAAAATATTTAGTTGTTTTTAAAAATATTTACAGAAATATATATTTAAAAACACACATTATAGCTATAAATAAATAAAATATATATTAAAATAAAAAATGTTTTTAATTATGTTTTTAATCATTATTAAAAATATTTTGTAATTATCATTATTTATAAAATTAATATCATTCACTTATAAGATATAAATAAAAGATATAAAGATATAAATAGAAGATATAAATAATCATCGCTTTTAAAAAGGATATATTAAATCGATATTCAAATGTATTGAAATTGATATTGTTTTTCTATGCTGGTTAATTCCTTTATTACTTTATGAGAGGCTTTGCAGAGATAATGCATTTTGATAATTTATGTATCTATCACATACATGTTGTATATAACTGTCATCGCGGATAAGAAGATTATAAGTTTTGTGAAAATATTTTATTATACTGTACTATTTTATTATGTATTATTTACTTTGAAGTATTTTATAATCAATTAAATATTGAAGATGCTAATTTTGTATTTTATAATAAATAAAATACAGAAAATACAGAAAATAATAATGTACTTTAATAATAAAAATTTATAATTACTAGATATTGCAAGCGCGTGCTATTTTTTCTGATATTATATATTTTTCAATTAAACATAAAATTCAATTAATTATTAAATTCCATTAATTTGTGTTGCAACTATATTAAATTTATCAATTTGTATGTAACAATTTAAAAATATTATTTATATTGTTATCTATCTCCTCTTTTCGCTTCTTTTCCTTGTTTTTCCTTTTTTTCTCTTTTCTTAAAAATTGTCTCTTAAACTTTCGATGAATTTTATTTAATAATAATAATTATGTATGTAGAAATGTATGATATATGTAACTATATAATTAAGCAAGCAATATAAATTCTAAAAATAACTTAATACACAAAAACAGAAATATTAGAGATATATTAAAAAAATATTTATTCTGTTTACTCATTTATTCAGTTTCGTTTCGAAGAAAAAGAAGAGGAAGAAAAAAGTTCCTTATTTTATATTAATATAAATTTCGAAATACATTAGAGATATTAGCACAAACACAAGAAAATTAATCTTTATTTTATAATATAATATATTATAAAGAAAACTTATACTGTTCACTAAATTGTGTATATTGCAAATATCTATATAAATAAGACTTAATAACAATTTAAAAAGATTTATTGTAGTCACTTATGTAACTTATGTGATATAAACATATTATGTAAGAAGTATAATATTTATTTATTAATGCAGTTCAGACTGTTTCTCTATTGCAACCTTGACAGAATCTAGCGGATAAAAACCGTATCACAAATAACTATTTTATTGTACATATTGATAGCTACATGGCCATCTGCGATTCGCGTAAAAAAGCCTTGGAAATGCAAATGTATCACGTATAGTTGATATACATATTAGTTTCATCATTACTGAGAAAATAATGTGATTAATATTGATTTCTCTGTAATTCATTTTTCAATTCATTTTATACATGTAATCGTTATATCTTCATATATTAATTTCTTAAGAATTTATATCTTTCTCATAGAACAAGTTTAGAATGTATAATTAGTTTTTAAAAAATCACGAGAAATCTCACGTACAAATAATGCTTCAAATAAATATAAATAAATATTCATTTATTTAATAAGAAATTTTTAGAGAGAATTTACTCTATCAAGTATACTGAAATATTATCGTTGAAATATATCGTTTTTATGTTATACTATTATATAAGATTGAAAACAAAGATTTATTCACAAACCGAATTTTAAGAATCAATGAGAAACATATTTTTCAGCTAATTTACAACGGATTTTATCTTTTTAAAATATAATTATATATATATAAATCGAATAAATAAGTAATTTTTAGCATTTTTCCTAAATTTTTTACGACAAATCAATTCTAAACTGAAAAATCTTGAATAAAAATGTTGATGGTTTCGAAATAAATTAATTATAATAATATAATGTAAGGCATACTGATATAAAAATATTATTTCTAGATATTGACATTTGTTATTATTTTATTGTTCTATTACTTCATATGTCAATAATATCTAGAATCTATCAAAGCTTTCAGTTTACTTCAGTGATCGAATTTAATGTTTCCATTCAAAGTAGATTAAAAATAAAAAAAATTATGGCAAAATGTATCAAAATTAGTAATACTTTAAAAAAGTCCCTTAAAATTTTCATTTGTGAAATGTATACAAATATAATTGGATATAAATCGGATATAAATAATCTTTGAAAAGTACAGCTCAGTTGAATAAAAATAAAATGAATATTAATTGATATATCACGTTTATTTTTCAAGAACTAATAAGCAATAATTTTTATAAATAATAAAGAATAGAGATTGGAGAGAGAAAGAAAATTACCTATTTCTACATTTTTTTACCTCGATCGAAATAGGAATAAGTCCGTGAGTTGAAATAAGAGTGGATTGAGCTTAGCTGGACAGATTTTCACCGATTTAAATTTGGTTTTACATCATATTAGGAGCGAAATAAGACTTAGGTAGAAATAAAATTAATAATATAAATATTGATACTTAATTTTATTTAATTGCTGATAATGAAAATTATTCTTTCAAGCGTAAAGGGTTAAATAGTACATAAGTGAAAAACGATTGCACAATAAACCGGAATTATCGCGGAAGGTTCGTGCAATCTGGACTTTACGTATGTTCTGGCGTGAGGCATGCGTATAAGCTCTTCCATATATAAATACTCGTGTGTCAGCGGGAAAATCTCAGTCGACCGATACTTAGAGCCTGTAACTCGTTGTCGAGCTATCTCTATCCAAAAACCTGAAGTTTACCACGTGATTTTGTCATATTGCCTCTGGACAGAAGTGAAGCTTCAAAAATAGAAAAAAAAGAAGAGAGAACTTCCTTCTCGAAGGAAATCCGTCAGGTTCATTGCGGTTCGACTTTTTAAAAGTGGCACGAAGATACAGTTGTGTGAAAAATGAAAAAATCCAAGTAGAAGAAGAAAAAGAAAAGAACAAATCTTTCTTCATCTTTTTTGAACGGGTGGTGACATACATGAAAATACACATAGTGCATTTCAAAAAGACCAAAACTCATCGAAGGTGCAACGGGAAGAATTTCTTTTATTTTTTTCTGCATTTTTATATCTCTAAGCCAGTGATCTAAGATAAGATAATTGTTGAGAAATTCAATGAAATCAAGTTCTTGTAAATTTCTTGTAAATTTAGAGATCAAATAACGATCAATAACGATTGATCGTCAGCCAGAAATTAACGAAGTTCAAAGTGCGGTTGAACTTTCGAAAATCCAAGTTTTCAATCAATGTGATTTCACTTTCCGCCTAAAAAAAATAATAAAATGATGAAAAGCAGACTGAGCGGATCATGCTTAAGACTCTTAATTCTAATTTTAACGACGATGGATCAAACTACGGTAGTTTTGATGGCTCGTCACGATGGTCATCATCACCGAGTTTCGAGAAGGATTAATTTGCCGCGCGCGATGGAAGCTACTAAGAAGTTTCTTTGCAGAGAACCCCAATCAAGGGCTTATAATGTCAGAGATGTGATGCAAAATCTGCAGTCTAGCGAAAATGTGAATCAGCCGGTATACATTGTACTGAAAAGATGCGACAGTCATTCGGGCTGCTGCGTCAGTCCTGATCTCAGTTGTGCGCCGGTGCAATCGTCAATTTATTATGAGGAAATGGAGATTGAGGTCTTGAGCTTGCGGACGAATATCACGAGGAGAACATGGATTAGAATCGAGCAACATGGCAGATGCAGCTGCGAAATTAGTAGTGCTAGTGAGAGATTTAGAGAAGCCAATCAACTACCAAATATACAACTTCTTTGATTTCTGAAGTTTGGATCATCTTTGGATCATTGAGTTTCTCTTTCACACACACATTCACACACACACACACACACACACACACACACACACACACACACACACACAGCATCGAAACAATACATTATAAGTGCATTAGACAATTGATTGAGCAACTTGCATTTTCCCACTAAATAACGTTAAATGAAGAAATAAGAATGCAAAGTGCCAATTAAAGTTAATTAATCAAGACTGAGATTAAAATTTTAATTTATATTTTAATTTTTTTTAAGACTTCTTAAAATCACGTATCGAAGAAGAATGAAGAACAAGAATGCAATACCAATAATACTGATCTATTTACCATCTTTAATATTTACATTTTTAATGCAATCTAATAAGAGAAATTGACGTAAAATACTAATAAATGATATTTAACTGTAGTTAAGACTGAGATAGATTTAATTCAGTTAAATAAAATAAAAAGTCTTAAAGTTTTAATTAATATTCGGATGTGTATTATATATCTACTTTATTTATAATATTATTTTGATAAAGAGGTAGTGATAAAGTGAAATTTAGCAAACATTATATAAACTTTGATATTATTGATATTATACAAATTTTAACTAAAGTTATAAGAAGAATCAATTTAGAAAACATGATTAGCAAAGACATAAGGAAAGACGTTCGATAACTAAGTTGTGATTATGATATAAAAGATGAAGAATACTTTGCAAATAAAAAATTATCCTTAGATAATTGATAAAAGATAGAAGCAAATTTTTTTTAGTACATAATTATTAAATTTATTTAAAAATTTAGTGATGTTTTAGAAATCTATTTTCATTTTTGGTTAAAAAAAATATAATTTTGATCTTTAAGTCAACAAAAATATGTTTTATATATATGAAATGTTTCATAGACATCTTTGTGAATATTTATTTCATGTGAAGATATTTTTTGATGTCAATGTATTTAGTAGATTTTATTGATGTCAATGTATTTAGTAGATTTTATATCGTGCCAAGTTCTTTTTTAATATTATAGACAAAAATGTAAAGAAATGTCCCACAGGGTATCTAAAAAAATATGACGTTATCACTCTTATAATATGACACAGATTATATTTCTCCTCTTTTTGTACGTGTATCGTATACACGTACAAAATATTCTATTGTAAATAATTTATAGCTAGATTTAGTGAAAATTATTATATTTCATCTGCCTCATTAAATGTGACTGCGAATATTTTAAAGGAACTTAAGGATACTTTTAACTGACATTGTGATAAGATTATGTCAATTTATAATGACAATACGCTTCAAAACAAAATGTATGTAAAATAACGTCAACTAGTCTCTTCGTACGTTTAGTCTATTGAATTCGTGTTGATTTTTCAACATGATCTTTATATATATATATATATATATATATATAAAACTAATAATACCACGAAACTAACAGCTAAATATAATTAATATATGATTTAATATATTTAATATATGATTGCTAAATACAATATACTGTTTGTATGGTACTGTATGTCGAACACAAAGTTTATATTAAACAAAGTCTAGAAGCAGCGGAAATAGCTGCGTTTGTAGATAAATAGAAGCTGCCAACTAGATATAGAGATGCATACTTTAGAACTTATAAATAAAAGAAAGACTTCTTTGCGTCGTAAGCGATTTTTTACGAATTAACTTTCATAGATATAAATAATTTATATCTGTGATAATTTATTTAATAACATAAATATGATATAGATATATATATATATATATATATATATATATATATATATATATAATGATAATTTATTTAATATGATTTTTTTTATTTCAATGTTAACCACAATTCGATGAGTATCATGATCAATGTAAAGCTAGCACTAGATTATATATAATTTGCTTTTTGCAATAAATATAGTAAGAAGAAATTGTTAATATATATCTTCTAAATTATTATTTGCAATTTGTGGTTCATCATTTGTATAATGTATTTTTATACACAAATCCATATGATAAAATAAAAAAGAATACGGATAATATACATTGAATTATTTAAACTTATAAATTTATTTATGGTTTCGCGATCTTTGATTTCGTTAAAAAATTATTATATTATAATTATTGTTATAAAAACTATTTCATCGAAAAATTGACATAAATAATTAATCAATTTGACATCTATTCAGAATTTACAAATCTGAAATGAATATGAATAACGCATTATAAATCTCAAATTATAAATTGCGCATAATTTGGTGTTAGCTTCGAAAACAAATTTTTTATAATTTACAATACAATATTTTGATACTAATTTCAAATTTCATGCTATTTTAAACAAAATTATTTTATTAGTAATTTTATTTATAATTTATTTATTAAATAATTTTTTAATAAGAAATAAGAAGAATAAGTAATAATAAGAAAATTGTGATTAATATAACCTAATGTATTGTGTAAAGATTCAACAGTATTCCTGTAGTATTTAATTAGAAGCTAATAATTTAAATATTATTTACTTTTTATATTTTAATTAATTTTATATTTAATTTATAAAGTAAAACAACAAAACTGTTTATATAAAAATAAATTGCTTTGGCTATTTTTTATAATAACTTGTAAAATTTGTTTGCTTATTTTATCCTTTTTTGTGTTTAATTCTATTCTCGTTTAAAATTTCAATTAAATTATTTGTTTATTTTTAATCATTTTTATTGAATTTTCTCAGATTTATAATTATTTTGTTAAAGAATAATATTAATTCAATATTTAAATTTAATATTTTTGAAAAAGTAAAAGATTTGAGACAAAATACAAAATATTACATTCAAAAAATTAAAATCTTGAAAAGATTGAAGTGTAAAGGAAGAGTGATAAAAACGTGAATAAAGAAAACGTATAATAAAACACCGAAATGTGAAATGTCTTAGAAGTAAACCGTGTCTTTCATATTTCGATATTTCAGTTGATACTTCTTGGAAGTTTCGTTCACGCTTTTGTCATGTCTTCTCTTATGCCAGACTTACTCTGATCTTTACTTTTGCCAAAGAAATATTGAATTCTTTTTCTTAAAAAAAATTTATAAATTCAGCTTTCTTTTTCTTCGATCAGAAAGAGAAGAAATATGAATATATTATATAATAATTGCTACTCGTATTTGAGAGCTCTTATCAACAAAGAAAAAAATAATTCTTATAATACTAATTGTAAGTATAGCATTCATATTCATAAATTCGGGTTTTATATTTTAGCTTGTCTTAAATATTATATTATTATTATAATATTAATTATCTTCAGATACACAATCATTTTATTAATCACTTGGAATCTTACAAACATTTAAATTCCAACTTAAAACGATCTTAAATAAATTGAGCCATGATTACCTTAAATTTTTTAGCATAATCCCGTCTTAAATTTTTCATTTTAAATTTAATTCTCTTTTGTTTACAGAGACCCACTCAGAGATAAAAAGCTATATATGGTACATAAGTAATAATAGTAGTCATGACATATCCATCTATGATGTAATAACGAAGTGTATGATATATGCCAAAATTTGATAATCGCATCATCTTCGAATCATTTTCTTAATTTAAGACACTTAAAGGCACTGCTATTCGGCATCTCTAGGCGCTGTTTGTATATAATGAAAGCTTTCAAGCTTTAGAATACCTTAAATGCTGTTAATAATCAGGGCAAATAAAATTTTATAGAATATTAATGTTAATTTTTTTTAATTTCTCTCTCTCTCTCTCTCTCTCTCTCTCTTCTCTTCTT